CCCCAAAACCCCAAAACCCCAAAACCCCAAAACCCCAAAACCCCATAAAAGAAAAATTAGTTTGAAAAGATTAAAATTTATTACAACATTATTAATATGGAAATCGAGATTAATTTTAACGAAAATTTACCAGAAGAGATCCTAGATGAGAATGTCTCATCATCAGAGATAAAATGTTCTTTGCACTTAAACTATTGCATCTCAAACTCGCCTTTTAAGGTTAATAAAAGGCATAAAAACTTTGTAGAAGCAGATTCTTTCTCTTTTGGTGAAAACGCTGAATTCACTCAAAAAGAGGTAGTCAAATTGAGCATAAGCATCAGAATATCAACTTAAGCAAGATATGAACATCATCAAACAGCTCTGGAAGGAAAAGTCTTCAGGATGAAATTAAAGATTTACTCCATAAAGCGATTGAGATCAGAGCCAAATTTTGATATGAATGTGACAGAGATATCTGTCTGAAACCTATAACCCATAACAGGAGCAGCTTATGTTCTCAAGGTGGCCATTCTTCCCTCAAGAACTACCAAGAGGAAGATAGAAGAGAGGTGACGATGAATGATATAGAAGGCTCACCTTGCTTCTAACATGCTTAATTATCTAATAATTGTTCTATAACTAATTTAACCTACTTACTTCTATGGAACTCCTAAAGGAAATTCTTTAAAGAATACTTCAATCCTGACCTTACTTCCCGAAGACTAGACTATTTTTATAAGAATTTTCAAAATGTGTAATGATTCATGAATCAAAAATTATTTAAATTAAATATGAATTTAGTGAAAATTTAAGACAACTTCTTTGCATAAAATTGTTTTCAATAACCCTTGCTAGTCACACATGGTTTGATTTAGGACGACCACATGGCTTCAATCCATTATCATCACCAAATAGCTCAACCCTAATTTCCCCTTTCACTCATATGTGGATCGTTTGAGAACATTTAAAAGAAGAACTAGGTTATAGAATAAAATTATTTGAACGAAGCCAGCTGATTTCTTGCCTACAGTAAACGTCGTTATCTTGCTTCATGAATAATGAATATATCATGAAAGGCTCATTCTCAGAGAAACAAAACTAAAGTTTTAGCCAATTTTCTATTAAGCGTTCTTTTGGAATTTCCTCTTTGCGATATAGGTCAAAGCTAAAAGTTTCTGAATTATGAAGAGTAGATAGGTTACAAGAGCATTTCTCTCTAACATTTTTGGAACTTTATGGTTGATATTATCCAAATCAGGACTTTAATAGTTATATTTCAGCGATGAAATCAAGGATATATTTAATATGCAATATTCAAAGATGTCTACTAACCAAGGCAACATCAGAAAGGTGTTGGAAATGCTACGTTTGGTAGAGAAAAATAACTATTATTTGAGTGAACTTTATTTAAAATAGCCCTCAAATCTTTAAGACTGGGAAAATAAGTTAAAGCATATTGTGAGAGATGATCCGCTGAGATATAGGACTCTTCAGTCAATCAGTAAGCTTATTTTATGATAAGTATTCGAATGTTTGCAACCACCGATTTTCTCATATTTTAATGACTCTGAAATTTCAACTGTTAGATTTAGATTAGGGGTTTTGGGGTTTTGGGGTTTTGGGG